TTCCCCACCTCAACCGAGGCCCCCCGCCAATGTCTCATCTTCGACTCGCTGGAACCCGGCGCGCGTCTTATCGGCGTCGAGTACATCATCACCGAGCCTCTCTTTCTTACCCTTCCCGACGAGGAGAAGCCACTTTGGCACTCGCATGAGTATGAGGTAAAGAGTGGAGTCCTCTTCCTGCCCGGTGTTCCAGGGATCGTTGAGCGTCGGGATCTCGAGAAGGTTGCCAAGACCTACGGGAAGACATTCCATTTCTGGCAAGTGGATCGTGGTGACGAGCTTCCCTTGGGAGTACCGTCTCTCATGATGGCGCTTACTAGAGACGGTCAGCTTCATGAGGATCTCGCCCGAGGTATTCTTAATTAGCTTGGTTGTTTTGGGGGGTTTGAGGATCACTTCCTGCATTTTCCATTGGAATTTGGTTGTTTCGTTAGGGCTTATAGAATTTCATGATAAGATGGATTTTGTTGCTGCTTTTTTAGGTTTAATTATATGCAGATGGTAGTATTTTCTACATATTTGTGGCTCAATGGCTAGGGGGGAAGTTTATTTTCCCTTTTTTTTCAACTTCAGGGTTCGAACCTAAAATATGTAGTGTGAGAGAGGGAGAAAGAGAAAGATTGAGAGAGAGAATGCACAGTAACACAAGTTTCTTGATAGAGCAAATTCTGTAGTTCTTTATAAATTTTGAGTGGTATCTAGTATAAAATTACATGTCTGTTTCTTTTTTAATAGAGACGTTACAATTTCTATGACACTTTTACACATTTGTAATTGACTCTAACACCCTTTTTTATTCATAACTGACTTTATCACCGTTTTGTATTCCTAACAGTTTAAAGAGGAGCATCTAATGACCCTATAATCTTGTCATTCGATCAATTGGTAGCCTTTAGTCGGTCGAAAAATATTCGATTGGCTGAAAGGTCGTCAATCGGCCTTCTCAAGGGAATCCTGAGTAGCAGCCCTTCCGTCATTAGGATGAACTTGGATCGTTAGACAGAGTGTGCATCACCATAATTTGACGGGCAACTCTTCTTGTACAAGGGGCTTTCTCAGAGGATTAAAAAGGGGTTCCGTGGGGTGCATTTGGTCATCTTTGTGAGGAGTTCTAGATTAGCTAAGAGAGCTGATCATGAACGACTACCCCCCGGATTGAGTTCCTTCTTTCTCTTCGTTCAGCTATGCTTCCGTTCGGTCGGCTCAAAGTTTCGATAGAAGGAAATGCCGCTTTGTGTTTCTGCCTTTTGACCATCCAATACACTGTTCTTTGGCGTTTATAAGTGAAACCTGTTGGATTTTCTTGAGATTTGTATGGACATATTTTTTATTTACATATTTAATTTTCTGATATTTTTACTTCTTGAAAGTGATAATTGCTATTAGAATAAGATAACTAAATCAAAATTTGACTTATTTATTGCATAATAAGTGTTTTTAATAATTGAATTTCTTGAATTTTTGTGCCCACGGTCCCTTTAAATTAAGCATTATCAGCACATCTCAATTACTTTTTCTGAATTTTCCGTCCTTCAGCCAATTGTTAACAGGAGGTATGTTTATGGCGAGTAGTAAGAAATTTTCTGCTGAGACGATAAATGAGGAGGCCATGATGAAGGCTTTTGGGATTTCAACTGGAAAATCCCGCCCTCCCAAGGACATAGGAGAAAAAAGGAAACTGGGTAATAGCCGACCTATAATGAAATAGAAATTGAGGATGAGGGCCGACCGACAATAACAAAGAGATCGAAGGGAGAAGGTTGATTGGTAACTGCAAAAAGGCAGAAGGGAAAAGTCTGACCGATCGATGTGAAGAGACCGAAAGGAGGGAGCTAATCGGAGGGAGATAAGCTCGTGAAACAGGTGGCCTATAACAATAAAGGGTGAATTGGAGGAAGTGGTTGAGTTGTCCGACTCGATGTCGCTCTATCATGAGATGAGGAGCAGGGCAAACATGCACGCTTCTGGTGTGACTGTCCGACATCGATCCGTGACCGACAGGATCAACAATTGGTTCAGGTGGTGCAGAGTCCTAGGTCCAGCCGCGTGGAGGTACAATTCCCTTTCCTTCTATCGGTGAGACCAGCCAGGTGGGTGTCCAATCCCTTCTTGGTGAGAGCCTCCGATCATTTGAAATGGAGCGGAACATTGGTTCAAGAAAATCCCTTTTTTATTGAGTAGATTTGTTTTTTTTCTTACATTCGATTAATCTTGCAGAGGAGATTGTGCATATCATCAACTTGTAGATGATGAGAGGCAGCCAAGGGATCGTCTGCTCTAGCCCATGGCAGAGGTGCCTCCAGACGTATGTTTGGTTCTGAGGACGTTGAGAGGGAGACCGGCGGTCGACAAAGATCATTAGTGTCGCTAGCTCGCCGGTTGAATGAAATGATGGTCTCCTTCGCCCAGGAAGCTGACCTGCATAGGGAGATTGTCGTAACGAACCTGAAGGAAGAACTAGCGGCTCTTCGCCAGGAATATATGGTCAAGTTGGCAACTCTCCAACAGACATGGCGATTCTCTGGATGGAGCTGACAGAGGGTCGGGTGGTTAAGTCGATCTCCGAGGTTTGGGCAGAGGAAAAGATGATTGAGAAGTTTAAATTTTGTGTGTGAGCCTTGTATCAAAGTCTTGTGGGTTGGGGTTTGTATTGGCTGAGGCAACCGAAGACCCTAGTGTAAAATATTTCCTATCTTGAATAAATAAAAATTTAATTGTAAATTTTATGTCATTTATTTTTCTTAAAAGATTTAGCAAAGAGAGGCATGAACAATGGAGAAAGATGAAGAAACATCCATCTACAAACGTCTGTTGTCGCAATTTCCTTACTTCTTCATCCTTGAGGACTTTGTATAGAAGCAAAAGCAAGAGAAAGAGAATTTTGGACAAGAACCTCTTCATCTTAAAAAATCACAGTCCCATCAATGACCATAACTTGCAAGAAAGAGCACACGTTTCTTTTGATTTTATAAATGAACAAAGATCACACTTAGGTGGTGTTTGGTAGCATACTATTAATAGAATTTATTGTTAAATTTAACTTAAATCCAACCAAATATAAAAAAATTGGAAGCTAAATCTAACACTGTTAATTCGAGTTTCCTCAAGTCCTGTCTATTTTTCCTCAAGGCCCATCTCTTTTTCCTCACGTTTCGTCTTTTTTACGATGTAAATCCAAATTTACCAAATTCGACTGCAAAGTGGATTTGTTAGTCACTCGCAAGCTCATCCATCACACACTAAATTTGATAAATCTCATTTAATGTAAATCTAAGTTCTAGCCAAACACTACCTTAATTATAAATATTAATTAATTAAAAGTTAAATAAAGAGACATCGAATATTAATTAATTGAAAAGCATAAGTAGTTTAAACACTTAATTTATGAAGTACCTTGGTTGTATGTAGTTAGACTAGTTCAGAACAAATACTCTTATAGTTTTAATTAGCATAGACAATGTTCTAAAAATTTTTGTTTTATTTAATCTTATAATTTGTTAAGTATCGATTTTAAAGATTTTATATGATTTAACATAAAATAAAATTTTTAATATATAATCTATTGTATGTTTAATTAGATGGTTTAATGCTTAATTTAAATTTTTTGTTATACTAATTTGAAATTATATTAATCTGATTAAATTATATTAATCTGATTAAATTATATTAATTAATTAATTAATCATAAATTTTTGAACTAGATGATGCAATAAACAATTAATGGAACAAAATGATATAATAATGTTGTGATATATAAGTTATATATATATATATATATAAGTTA